AAAATATTTGAACAAAACTTTTAAGATTCTTTAGAACTAAGTACGTACGATAAAAATAAAAATTTCTAATATGAAGTTATTATATAATAATCATAACTTTAACGAGAATAAAAAAGTTTAAATCTTATATTTAAAAAAAATATAGAATAGTTTCAAAATTATCTAGAAATTTTTTTATGAACCTAATAAATAACAAAATATGTAATAACCTCACTCTTTTTTAAATCCAAATTAAGAGGAAAGGGGTTTACGAGAAGATATTTTCTTAAAATTCGTTTATGGTGTTAACGAAATGATTGCACTTAGCAGTTTTTAAACAAGCACAAAAAAATATTATGACTAGATTTTACTTTTGATCTAAAACCTTTTACCTGTATTGAACATCTCATTCGAAACGATCTATATAAAAAATCGTAATTAATAAAACCAAGTTTTTTTTTTCATCTTAAGGTTTTTTAAATTTAAATTTGTATCCTATAACACCACTTTGTTTTAACACTAACGTAACTTTTAAGCTGATTAATTAAATAAAACTATTACAATTAACATTATCAGTTTTTTTCGTATTTCCCTATTTACTTTTTCTTATATTTTAATATGCCGTTTCTAACTTTCGTTTAATTTAATCCAATGTAGTATTAATTAATGAAAAAAATAAATTTCTCCTAATACATTAAATCAGTGTTTTAAATTTAAAAAAAAATTTTTTTAGCCCATATTTCTATAACTTCAGTTCATTGAACGTCACAGTATTGTTTAGAATAATTAATTAAATTAATTTCAATTAACATAATCATACATTTTTAATTTCACCCTCTTTATTTTTCCTAACATTTTAACACGTCTTTTATAACTACCATTTAATCTAAACCGAATGTAATGCTTACCTTGATTAATGAAGTAAATAAAATTCACTTTATATAATCAAACATTTGCTTTTAATCTACTTTAAATTTGAACGCGTATAGTATAACATCAGTTTCATTGAACACCAATGTAATGTTTATAATAATAAATTAAATATTTTATTTTTAAATTTTCAACAATCAAATTAAAACATCCATATTCTTTAACACAATGTGATGTTTACCTGCAATCCTGCCACAGTCAAAGGCAGCTGCAACTATTGTGTGTCTTAAGATTTCGAAACTATATTCACCTCATTTAATGTGCTGCTCACTTTTCATAAAAATGTAAAAACAAATAAAACTAGTAATGAAATAGAGTAATGTATAAACAATCAATTATTTATGGTTTACATAGGAGATAAAATGGCTTCTTGTGTTTAAATAATCTCTATAAATGTGGTGTTCCATTTCAATCTCATTTCTTCAACTTTGAAGCATGCATTCTTCAGCTAATATATATATATATATACATATATATTTTAACTGTTATTCATTTAGAAGTAATCTCAATGAGAGTTTGCATGCAAGAACATAGAAAGTTCCTGAGGCAATTTATAAGATGGGCTGAAAGTTTGTGTCTGACAGTATGTATTGGATACAAAATGCATGATTATATCATAGTAATAATGAAACTTGTTTGAAAACAAAATGATTTTATTATTAATAAAACGTGTAAAAAAGCGTTGCATTCTCTTGATTTTCAAATTAATATATTTGTTCATAGCGGTAATCGCCCCTACCCCTAAATGACGAACGATTAGGAAAATTAATTGAAGAAAAATCGGAGAAGATAGAAATGTACGGTTTGCAACATTCTGAAGTAAAAAATTAAATTTTTCACAGAGTTTCAAAAATTGGTAACAAAGTTTGCCAACAGATGGCGGTGAATAAATTGCGAAAAAGTAACAAACAGTTTTAAAATGGTGTAGATTGAAGACAATATAAGCAGACGCATGTGTAAAATGGGTTTGAATTTTAAAAAAAAAATGTTTCACAATTTATTCAGTTGACTGCACCATCTGTTACGACTTATGAAACTAATTTTTCTGGTTGCCTAAGCTGAACGTAGCGAATCGTCAAATTTCTATCTACTTCCGTTTTTTATTTCTAGGACATCCGGTACATTATTTTCAGTTCATTTACTTTTCAAGCGAGTGCAAAAATAAAATAACACGTCTATATTACGAGTTGCCCTTAAGAACGATTTGATAGACATTGAGAGTACTATCATATCATAATTCAACATGGTGGTCTCTGTAACTGTAAATTGAATGGACTTAAAATTTTTCAGAAAATTTACCGAATTAAAAGCGGTTTTTAATGGTAAATTCCCTCGCTTAAAAAATATACAAATCGGAAATATTAGTTAACTGTTTCAAGACTTGCCAGACGTGAATGAGAAGAAACAAAAGTGATTTGAAATATCAAACGCAAAGTTGTTAAAAGAAAAAATAAAGGTGAGAAACAGGAAAAAAACAAAAAAACAAAATGGTTTATGGAGGCAAATCAGGGTAAAATGCATTTCCATGTGCTATGAAGAGGTGGCGAGTAGTTAATATCATTAACACGCAAATCAGCATTTGTATGAATAAAACAAGATTCCAGGGCATCAAGTTAAACAACAATTAGGTAATATCTTTTTGCTTCAACTTCCTGAGATAATTTATTTAACATTGCCTGATTTTCAGAGAAAAAGAAGTGCTTTTGTTTAATAGAAGTAAAAACTTGCATTACATAAAGAATCATTATCTTGTAGCTATCAAAATAGCAATGAAAAACGTATCACCTTGTTTTTAAACTGCTTCAAATTAAAAGAAAATAGTACAAAGAAAACGGTTTTCTTTTTTGTTTCAAATTTTTTTTTGTCAATTAATCTTAAAAAAATATTTCTTTTTTAAACTAAGGCTTAGATAGCTAAGCATATAAGAAATATATGGCTAAAATTAGATTTGTCAGTAAAAATAAATTATTATTTTTAAAAATGTAACATCAATATTTGTAGAAATATAATAGATTCTGCATAATAAAAGTACGTATCAACATATAAAATGAAGAAAATGAATTGGAATAGTTAACTTAAACAAAATTTATGTTCAATATTTAATGAGCATAGAAAATAATAAATTTTGTAAAAAGTATTGCTGCATTTTTGTAGTTAGGATTAATTTGTTGCAATAGGTCATAGGAGAAAAAGCAATTAGAACAATACATGTTTTTTCTTCCTACTGTCAAGCATAGCTTTTCGTGAAGTCTAAATACCAATAAATACTAATAAATAAATACTACATATTATTAGGGAAATTAATAATTTTTTGGAGGACTTGGGCACCTATTTCATGAGATAAGATATAAAAACAAAGGGACAACAAAGCAATATTTCCCCCCCATAAAATTATGAAGTTTCACCATTTGCACAGAAAATATAAAATTTCTTAAATTAAAAATATGCTTATATTATATACACGAGCAGTCAAAGTTTTTAACTTCAAGTTTTGTTTAAATATTTTACGTTACTGTAAAGTAACGATCATCCGTAAAGACAAGAAGTGTTAAATAGGCAAATTAAACAAGTGAGTTAAATGCAGTAATATTTTGCTTTGTTAATGAATTTGTCCTGTGTCTTTAAAATACTTTTTAAGGCTACTGTTTTATTAATAATATTATATATTGTCCACCAAAATCATGGCTCTAAATGCTTTTTTTAAAAATTTTCTTAAAATTCAGTATGTAGTCATTCAGTATGTAATTGGCAATCAATACTTAACTATAAACGATATTTAAATGAGAAAAACAAAAGTGTTATCAAAATGTGATGAACCGTTATCAAAGTCACATAAAGATGGAAGTGAAATCACTAAAACCCAGCTAACTCGTTGGAAAAAACTAAAAAGCTTTCTGATAATTATTGTAGCAAATAGTTTTTATAATTACCAATTTGCTGTGTCAGGTGAATACAAATGGTGCTCTCAAAATTTCTACTGGGTAAATTAATTATTAGAATGTCTTTAAGAATAATTCAACAAATTAAATGGTGTTTTTTAATTTCAATTTAACTTTAAGATTGATCTTGATAAAGCTCTTCAAATTCTGACATTTTTTCTGCAATAAATATTATTTTCATGAAAAAAAACCCTAATGTGTAAGCTCAATAATTCTATAATTTTGACAAAAACGCTAAAAAAATGTGGGGCTGTTATGGTGGAACACACAGTATGGAAGAATAGATAAATAAAATAATAATAAGAAGAAAAGCATTATAGTGAATATAAGTAACGCGGATTTCCTGGAGACTGAGAAAACAGTTGCTTAAAAGAAGGAAAATTTAACTGAAAAATCTAGAGGTGTAAAATGTTTTTACTAAATTTAGATGATTGTTAATTAAATAAATAATTAGAGAAAAGGAATTACATTATTAATTTAAATGCAATAAAATGAATTAAAAATTTAAAGAAAACTGTGTAAAAATACAATACTATATGAACTGGATGATTAGCCTAACTAACACATTTAAGAGTGGGTTTTCATATGCTTTAAAGACCGAAATCAAATATCTTAGTAAATGATCCAAACAATAGACTTTTTTCTACAAAAAGACATTCTAAACACACATTGCATGCAGGTCGTTCCAATCCAAAGACTTGCCATCACAATTTGTTTCATAGGTTAAGATTATTTTTATCTTAACTCACAAAACAATAAATACTCAACAGTCCCTCTATGATAAATAATTCCACATACAACAACTTGCAGTGGTTATTTAACTAAAATTGAGACAGCAAAAAGATAATTGAATTTAAATGATTTGACAGAAGACAAAATTTAACCAATAATTTCAAAAGTCAATATTTTGTGGTAAACTAAATCTTCTATGTATTTCCTCATTATTTAATACTTATTAGTCTGTTGGAACATACCTTATGAAAACAGTTTAGGTTTCATGTGCTTTTCTGCAAAAAGATTAATGAATACCTTTATTGAAAAAAAGAATTAGAGGTTAGAATTAAATGATTTTAAAAACCTGACAATTAGCTGAAAATAAAATTATCAATGGTGTATAGAGTATTTTTTTTTATTAATTTGAAATACTATTGCTCAAATTTATTCCAATTTTATTATGCAAAATATATTATATCAGATATATATAATGTGTATACGTAAGTTTAACAATGTAAAATAACATACTATATAAATTTAACAATTATATTAAAATTTCAAATTTACATAACCAAGAATGCTCTCTTTGACTTCTTTTCATACATTTTATTCATGTTGCCATTTAGGAGGCTTCTTAGAAAAAAATGCATTAATTCCTTCTTCTGCTTCTCTGTGGGCTAAATTCTTAATCATTATTTCATTTCCGTGCCTAAAAATAATAATTTAATCATATAATTATGATTTTTTTTTAAAAAAAAAACGTTTAATTCAAATAATTATAACTGAAAAAAAGTTTTAAAAAAAACTTTTATAATTCTTCACCTACTGTGCTTTTCTTTTGATGCACGGACAATAATTTTCAATAAATATGTATATAATTAAGAAATGACGACAAATTATGCCTTACAAAAATTAATTTAAAATAAACTAATTTATGCCTTACTCTTAATGGAAAGCATACAATTATATTCAGGGGCACTTTTGGTAATTAAATAAGTAGTTTACAGATCCAATAATTTAAATGAAGTTCATTTCCCTACTAATGAAGTTGAATTTAGTTATTTAATCATAAGAAGAATTTAAAAAAGCAATGTAACAAACTTTTAAAAAAAAAAACTCATTGGTTTATAAAAGCTGCAACATTTCATTGATTCCTTAATTAAGTTACAAAATTGTCACTGTGGTAGAATCAATGAATTTTATAAAAATAGAAGATTAGTAGTTGTAAAAAAATATTTGCTCTTTTGATTTGAGCATTTTGTTTAAATAAAGATCATAATATTGAGATTGTGATTGATTAAATAACAAACAGAAACAAATTAGTGTACATCACTTTGATCAAAATTCTGCGAATAACATACACTAATATAATTAAAAAAATGAACAAAAATAACTGTGCTTATTCAAGAACCCACAGTAATTGTACAACTTAAACATTATATATTTAGAAAAGTACTCAATAGCTTTTTTAAATTTCTTCACATGACTTAGTCACGACATAGGTGTTGATTGGGTGTCAAAGTTGAGGAAGGGGGTAAGGATCAAATTCATGAGAATCAAATTGCATTATAACTCAAAACAGTTAAACAGAAAAAGATATCATTATAATATATCTGCATGGTAAATCATAAACATTGCGAAGTAATAATATTTTTAAAAAAATTATATTTATTATAAGACTTGCTGTAACAAACAATATTTTTATGTAATAAATAATGTTAAGCGTTAAGAACAATAAAGGCACAACTAATGTCACTTATTTCAAATTCAAATATCATCCACACAGGCCTAAGATAAAAGTGAAAAAGGATATAGAAAAGAGTAACATGCAAAATTAATAATAAACAGCTAATCTAAAAAAAAAAAATAAAGGCAAGTTAATGTGCTAATAAAATAATTAAACACATGCAAAATGTACCCAGACAAAATTGAGAAAGATAAAGCCTCAAAATATGATTTTATATCCTGTAAAAATTTTCAATCAATCATAAACAAATTATAACAATTTCTATAAATTTCTATATCTTTTAAAATTTCTATATTGAAAATTATCCTGTTTATGATTAGTAAATATTTTGATTACTAGAGAAAATAGGAAACATATCTCCCTATTTTTTAACACAGAAAAAGATGTCCCTCTCATTAGAGCTAAAATGGATCTCCCTATTCATGATTACCCAGACAAAATTGAGAAAAACAGTAAAAAATATAATTTTTTAAAAGTGCCGAAGTTACAATAATAGACAGTATCACTTTTTTTGGTAATTACCTGTAAGCAGAAGGAAGAGATTGATTTAATTGTTCATAGAAAAACTTTTTCCCCATTGCTAAAACGCACCTGCTTTTGAATAAAATACTTTGCAAGACATTTTCAACCTATAAAATGAAATAAAATACATTTAAACACAATTTCACAATATCAAATATCTTAAGCAAAAGTTCAATGAATCAATACATACAAGACTTTCAAGATTTTCTTCATCAGAAATTTTGCTGACGAGACCAACTTGTAAAGCTTCTAAAATTTCAAAAAATTTAACTTTCATAAAGTAATAAAATTTAAACATGGTACATACTTCTGATAAAATGACACATCATTTACTTTCAATGTTTTAAAAAAATACCCCTTAAATATAAATAAACTATAATAAATAGAAACATTCAATTAGAAACAAACAATTCTTTTATATCAGAATCAAGATAATTTAAATATATATATTCGAAAAATGTAAAAATTTTGAAAATATAAACATTACAGAAAAAAAACTGCACAAAATTATTATACACAACTTTATTTTGAGCTCAAACTAAAGTGGTGATTTTCAATGCAGTACATATTTTCTTTTCCACTAGAATTAAAATAAGTTAACAACCTTGAAAGTCATAAAAAATTATTTCAACAGCAGATTATTTATTTATATTACCCATAACATTTACTTTCAAAAATTTTCAACTTTCTGACTTTAGAAGAGGGAAATTATAATAGAGCACGGCTATAAATTGATTGGCACCATTGCCAGATATGATTATAAAAATTTAAAATATCTAAAACTATGAATGTCTTCTTTGGTATTAGCACCCCCCCCCCAAACTTAACACTGTAACATTATGCAATTGAAAGAAAATTCTGTTTTGGTGTGGGTTTGAAAGCCATATTATGAGTCTTAATCATGTGATAAATAAATAAGAAACACTCATATAATTTTTACCTTTCATAATACTTTATCTTAATTAGTATCCACATGAACAATTAATTTCATATTTGAATGTAACAGTTTTGACTCTAATAAAATAGCTGGATTATAAAAAAAAGCAGTGGATTTTTAAAATCAAATCCTCCAAAACAGAAACACTACAATAAAAAATCATCCTTTCATAAAATGGTTATTATTGTTTTATAACATAAAGATTTTGAAGGGCATATGTTTTTATTAACTAAAACCGATTTACAACCCATTAACAAAAGGAAAAAAAGCTATAGGTAAGGAATATATTTCTTGTGGAAATTGAAGATTCAGAGTTATGAAAATAGTTAGTTAATTGAGGAAAGTTATTGAATATCCACAATCAGTTAATATCAATGATCATTATTCAGTCATAAGTCCCTTACAGTTAAGAGAATGAAGTCAGGTTTGAAAAGGAATTCAAACATAAATAAACTATTAGGCATTGAATAAGATAAATCTACAATTTAAGAAAGATTCATTCTGTTAAACATTTTATCGAACACAAAAAGGGGCTAAGATATTATTGAACAGTTTAAAATCAAATCTTGCCCATGTTCTATTGTGTGTTAGAGATAAATAAAGTCAAAACGTACTGTTTTAAATTTATTTTGAGCAAAACTTATTAGTTGAACAATATGTAATAGTGGCAAAATTTGAGACTCGATAAGTTTGAAATATACCTGAATTAACCATTGACACTATATAGGTAGCAAAAACTTTTTTAAACCTTCAAACAATGTGGGATCTATAACTTCATATTCTGTCAACTAAATAAGTAGCAAAAACTTTTTTAAACCTTCAAACAATGTGGGATCTATAACTTCATATTCTGTCAACTAAGTAACAAAATGCCAATATTTTAACTTATTTCTGTTAATTAAAAAATATAGCTCATGGTTAATCATCAAAATGTAGGTTATAAATAAAAACAATTATAATGAAATTAAGGTGTGGTAATTAATTTAGCTTTTAATTTTGGTGCATTTGTAAAGCTCAGAATATCAACCTTTTTTATCATGTCTAGATATGAAGATTTATTGAAACAGCAGTCAACAAAATCAAATGCTCCCAAAAGCAATAAGCTGTAGATCAATTACAGAGTTGTACAAATATGCGTCATTTTCCTACATAAACTATATTTCTCTGTACATATTTTTCATAAGTTTAAACTACTTCTGTTTTTAGAGATTATATAAATTTGTTTTACAGTGAGATTTTGAATGTTCCTCACCTTAATTAAAATTCATATTTTGTTTTTCAGTAGTATAATTCAGGAAGATTTTTTGTATTTATTAAACAAACATATTTGTATAAAGATCATTATTATATAAATTTTTAAAACTTTATATTATTCTGTATTATTGAGAATTTCAAGTTACAGGGTTTCAAATTTATTGGGTTCTATAGCATAAGAGTTTAATCTTATATTAACTCTTATTATTTTTTATGTTACTGAATTAGGGTTTGTTGAAGATGTAATCTGGTGATAGATTTCCCATTAATTATAAGATATGAAATACTACACAGGTTTCTATTCCCAGTGGCAATAGAGTATTCTAATATTCAAAAGTAATAAGTAAAACCATTAAATTATACAAGCTATGAAAAGTTATATGGGTCAAAAGTATTCCTCTTACTTTTTAAATCAATGCATGAAGACATATTTCAGATTAAATATCAGCATGATGTAAAATGCAAATATATTTTATTCAATAAAGAGAATATACCATTGGCATTTATTGTATTTCCAGTTAATAACATGTATGATGCTGCTTTAAGTGGTATATTTCTAGAAATTGCAATTCCTGGAGTTGAACAAAACAATCCAACAGATGCTCTAAAAACAAAAATAAATCAATTTATATAGATTCAAAAGTAATTTCTTCTTCAAAATTATTTGGTATAGAAGAAGGTTACTAATAATCTACAATTTAAATTAGTTTTAAAGAAATGCAGCAAAATATTCTTTCATCAGTCATTTAATAAATATGAATACATATAACTTTTAAATACATTACTCTATTCTATAACAATAACATAAATATGAATCAAATACAATTTTTGTGATAATAAAATATTATAAAGAGGTATGATCATAAAAAGGTAATCTAACTTGATTATGTCTTAAAGTGATAGACAAACATTTAAAGATACTTTTCCTCTGTAAGGAATAAGAATTATTTCACATTCATCATAAACAAAAAGAAATAGTTATATCAAATAACTGTCTTGCCTTTAAACATCAGTGATTAATTATGTAAAAAGTAATTGATCATTATATTTGAATATATTTTTTAAAAAAATGAAGCACTCCCACAATAGCTAGTTGTTGGTTAAAGAAGTCATGGCTTTGCAATTTTAAGCCAACACTGATGATGGCAATTTGATCAGCTTTGTACACAGATTGCTTTTACTTCCCAAATAAGCAGTTGATAATTGCTCCAAAGCATAAGAAAAGCATGTCACTTAATGTCTTAAACACTATGCCAAAGTAGTTATACTCGTGATTAAATATATAAAAATATTTAAATTCAACAGTACATTTTGAGGCTGCATTATATGCCTGCTTGCTAGTTTCATTAACTAATGTTTCAAGTTAATGTTTTAACTAATGTAATAAATGCAACAATAAGATGCCCTTGAAAGTAAAAATTGAAATTGGTTGAAGAAGTTTTGACCATTTAAGAAATAATAGTATGCAACATCTATGCAAATTACATATGCATTACATGCACATGACATAGACATTACAGCTCGACTATCCATAATTCACAGAAATAGGTACATTCTGGATGCTTTAAACAGAAAAGCTGGATTTCTAGTTTTACCTTATTTCATAAAAAAGTGTGTTATTAAAAACAAAAAAAATTTTCTCAATTGACAATAATAAAAAAACAATAACGAAAAGGGAGACAAAACTGTTATAGTTGACAATAAAAGTTATCAAAGATAAATAAATAAACTGAAATTGAAGAGTGAAAAAAAAACAAGTCTCGGACATAAAATAATAATATAGTTTTTAATTATTTGTTCTTATTTTATTAATGCCAAAAATAGTTTTATAGGTAAAAAAAGTTTGATAGGTTACTGTAGAAAATGGAAAAATGCAATACCAATACCAATACATGGACAAAGGTTTTTCAGAATGACAGCTTTTAGGTATATAATAAAAATTAAGGGTTAAAATAGAACACATTAAAGAAAAATGGAAGACTGACTAGCAGCTATAAAAAATTAAACTAAAATTAATTTAAAGCTAAAAATTACCTTTTTTATCTTACATATTTTCAGGAAAAAACCCTTAAAATAATTATTAAAGAAAAAAATCCATCAGAAATGCTCTTAAAATTTAAAATATATCAAAACATAATGAAAAGATGGATAAAAATGTGTAAAAAATATTAAGAAAAACAATAGTTTTCAGTGAAAAGTGATAAAAAAACTACTATATATGTTTTTTACAGAAACGCTTTTAAATACATGCTACGTCATAATTAGAAAAGTTTGCAAAATACAGCAAAAGAAAAACAGAAAAATATTATTCTTATTTTTCAGCACAAAACTTTTTTAAAAAAAAAACAAAGATCAAAAAAGTCTATCAGATAAGATATTCTGGGGCATAATAAAAATGCTGATAAAATAAATTAAAAATTTAAATAAAAAAAGTGATATATTTTTTTATTTTCAATGGTGAGATAGGAAAAAATATAAAAAGGAATATATAAATAATAATGAATATAGAAGTGAAGTACAATTATTAGAAATGAACAAAGTCATTGCCTTAAAAGTTTTCTAGCATGCCAGTAAAGTATTATGTTTGGTGTTATTGCATAGTGGTGGGAAAAAAAACAGCAGTTAGAAAAATATTCTGCATTTGATACAAATCTCTTTAACATTCATTATTCCTGTTATCCTTTTATTTTTCTGCACGATATCAGTGATTGTCTAGTAATGAATTTAATACAAAGAAACTTCAAGTAAACATAAAGCAAAATGCAATCTAAATTTCTCTCTTTATTTCATGTTATTATCAATTTAACATTATCCTCTGCATAATACTTGTTCCTTTTTTTCCCTATACATTTTTCACCCATCTCTGATACATGACCTTGATATACATGTTAGGAGTGCTAAATAAAATGAGGTCCATACTTAATAATTGCTTAAATTTAAGTAGGCATTTATTGACTAATAACTGGAATTTTACAGTAGATTTTTGATGTACAAATGTTGCATAGTTTAGATTTTACTGCATTTGAAAAAGCAAATTGATAAAATACATAGGACTTAGTGCAATTAATGTATCAATTCAATAGCTATTAAACCATTAATAAAATTCTAAATCGAATAAAGCACAGAAACACTTAAAGTAAAACAAATTTTGAATATGATAAAAATAAGGAAATAAGACAATAGATATCTTGAATATGATGAATGAATATGTTTTGAGTAGGACATTTACAGAAATTAGAAAGAAAAAAATTGTTTAACATTATAATTGCCATTTCTCAAAAAATACTTGAAATAATTATGCTTTTTGAGCATAAAAATAAATTGAACACAATAAAAAATTGGAGAAAAAAGATAGAGAACATAGCAGAAAATAAATAAGAAAAAAAATTAGCATAAATAATTTTACCCTGGAGTAGAAAAATGCGATTTAGTACTAGCAAGAGTAATATCACATGATGCTATCAACTGACAACCAGCAGCTGCAGCTAAACCTAATAAAGAAATAATAATATACAATTGAAAGGCAACAACACAAGACAGATAAGTTTCACTTGCAGGCATATTTGCACATTTTAAATACAATAAAAGCTTTTCTTCAACTGGAACTTTAAATTAATTACATTACATTTATATTTCCTTATTATCTCCAAAATATCAAATAATTGGCCTAATTTACTGATTTATATCAATGCATTAAATTTTTTTTTACCTATTTTTATTAAATAAAAAGTTCTGAATTCTCCTGTCTAACTGAAAATTTCTTTCTTCTATTCTAGTACAGCTATATTTAAAAAAAAATCTAGTCATTAAGGTGTTCATATAAATCAAGCATTTATTCAGAATCTTGACAAATGATCGATTCTGAATGTAACAACTCCAAAGGGCCTGGTGTCTGACAGGTAGGTATTGCCCCATTCTTTACTGCTATGCATCACAGGAGGTTTATTTATTAAGCAATGAGGAGATATTAATGTTGTAAATTTATCGATTAGAACAGACTGAACCAAAAATGAAAACATTATGTGATGCTCAAACTTATATTGATATATTAAAATATTTTTATCAATCCAAAATCGATAAAATTTGAGTAAAAATGCTAAAAAATTTACAAATGTTCCATAAATCACAAGTGCATCAAACAAATTTCTATCACACTTTTTTTTAACTGGATAAATGTAAAACAAAGGCATGTACATAAAAAAATTCTTCCTCTATTCTTTTTGTATAGTGAATTCTATAATTTTGTTAAGTTTAAATAAATATCAATGTAAATAGTTATTATAAACTATTTCATTTATATATCATTCCAATTATTCTAAAAACAATGTTGCTAGCCTTTATCTTTACTGCATCCTTCCCATAAAAAGACAATCTTTTTTGTTATTACAGCGTCTGCTTAACCGATGATTCACTGTAGTAAAATATAGAACTGGTATTCTTTATAACTACAATCAAAATCTGTGTAATCATATAATTTCTGTCAGTGTAAAGCTTCATTGTCAATATATTTTATACAACTCTTCTAGAAATCTAATCATTTGAACAGGACCGAATTTAAGTCCAGTAGAAATTGGTATAAAGGAGCATAGATACGTATGCCTTTAATTGACTCAAAGGTAGTATACATAACACCTGCATTACTTTCTGATCTGTCAGGTTATAAGACACATTAGTACAAAAGATATTAATGAGTCATTACACACTCAAATTAATCAATTATGGCGGATAATAAAGTAACACACCTCTTATAAGTAATAAAGTTCAAAAAAATGAGAGACAAAAGATTGAATTAGTTTTACATCAGGACTGTTATTCTTTTTTTTTTATATTTACTTTTATATTCTTGTTACTGATATAAGATTTGCAGAGGCACTCAACTAGAAACATTTAGAATTTCACATTTCAAAATGATTCTTGTACACATTTTTGTTGTATCTTAACATCTTTTTGAAAGGAATGAATGCCTCCCAATTACCTGAAAACTTCCATGGAATCTGTCTAAACCTAAAAAGCGTAAAGTGTGAAAAGTCTTGTGCTTTTCAAATTATTCTGGTATTTTTTAAATTTAAATATAAGAACAATTTAATTGATACAGGATTTTAAAATTTGATTTTAGATTTACAATTTAAATAAAAAAATAACTCAATAAATGCTAAAAATAGAAATATGTATGTCCCACACAAACATGTAATGAAAAAATATCGATAAACATTTTAAATAATTTATCAGCACACATCATTAAAAAAAGGTACACTATGCAATATATATCATTTAACTATTGCACATACACATATGTAAAAAAAAATTTTTTTTCTTAAAAAAATAAATAGTGCATTTATATTTTATTCAAATTTTTTGTCTGGCCCTTAAGACTTTTAACCATTATTCACTGGCTGTTCTACCTCCTGGTAAATTGCACAGATTACTTTGGAAAAAATTTAATCTCAATTAAAATTGAAAAAATGAATATTTAATTCCTGAATACAAAAAAAGAAGCTGATACTTTTAATCCTCTGAAAGTTAAATCTAACTTTTCTCCGAACTTAATCTTCTGGCTTTTACATATATGAGGTTAAAAATATATGGAAATTTATTTAACTGAAGTCTTAAAAAAATTCTTTTAATTTTATTTGATGAAGCAACTTATTCAACTATATTTTTTTAAATTTCATTTATCACAATGTTCGAAAAGATGAATTGAAGTAAATGATGACATTATAAAAGTTATACTCAGGTTATATTATGGCTAACAAACACAGGGTGCGTAGCCAAATCTGTCAACAAAAAATAAGCACTTTTAAAGTATTTTTTAAGCACTCAAAAATATTTTTAAGTACTTTACACATTAAGAAAATACAAATAATTTTCAAAGACTTTACACGATCATGATAAAATAACTATTTTCTGAAAAAGAACTCTTTTTCTTGATTGTATTAGCCACCATAAAAAGATCGAGAGATTTTTCAGTTTAATTTTAGAGGGTAGAAAATGAAGCCTGAAATTGAAAATATCTTGCAGCAGAATTGCAACTGACAGTGCAAGACTCTCACCGAACCCAGCTCAGTAGACGCATATGCGGACTCCCAAGTATTTAATCACATATGTAATACGATTGGCGCTACCATACATTATGGACAGACGGTAAGCCATCATGGATTATATTTAAATGAATTGTGAAAACTTTGACTAGAAGAATGTGAAAACCACGCTTTTGCATAATACACAGCGAAACTCGACAAAGTAAAAAAAACTCATTATAGAAAAGGGAAATTAAGCACTTTTTGAAAGCACACTAATGAAAAAAGCACCTTTAAGGGCTTTTTAAAAACGAAAATAAAAAATAAGCACCTATATGCACTTTTTAAAAACGCTATGCACCATGAAACAAGACTGGTGATAAACTTTAACTTATATTCTTGTTATTGGTAAGTAAGTATTAGCAGAAATATGAGTAGTACATACATTGTGAGAGGAAAAACAAAAATCATATTTCCTGTGCATTATATATGGCACATTCTAAGTGAAATGGACCAAAATAAAAATAAAAAATATTGTTGCCGCTTTGCTATTTTTTTGTTACAAATTTCTTGATAAAAATGGCTAAAATAATTCTTTTCAGAATTTTTTTGACCAAAACTATAATTCAAGGAAATTTTGTTCTTTGACCTCAATTTTTTTCTGTAATGTTAAATGTCATATTTTTCAATACAAAAAAATAAAGAGAGTATTGCTTTTGGTCAGCAAAAAATAAAAAATGGTTTTTAGCCTAAATGCTTCAAGATTTTTTTAATATTTAAAAACAAAGTTTCCTGACCTAAATTTTTCTTGCTAAATGTTATATTTTTTAACGTAAAAAAAATTAAGTNAACAGTTATTATAAACTATTTCATTTATATATCATTTCAATTATTCTAAAAACAATGTTGTTAGCCTTTATCTTTACAGCATCCTTCCCATAAAAAGACAATCTTTTTTGTTATTAGAGTGTCTGCTTAACCGATGATTCGCTATAGTAAAATATAGAACTGGTATTTTTCAAAATCTGTGTAATCATACAATTTCTGTCAATGTAAAGCTTCATTGTCAATATATTTTATAAAACTTTTCCAGAAATCTAATCATTTGAACAGGACCGAATTTAAGTCCAATAATAATTGGCATACATAAAGGAGCATAGATATGTATGCCTTTAATTGACTCAAAGGTAGTATACATAACACCTGCATTACTTTCTGATCTGTCAGGTTATAAGACACATTAGTACAAAAGATATTAATGAGTCATTACACACTCAAATTAATCAATTATGGCGGATAATAAAGTAACACACCTCTTATAAGTAATAAAGTTCAAAAAAATGAGAGACAAAAGATTGAATTAGTTTTACATCAGGACTGTTATTCTTTTTTTTTTATATTTACTTTTATATTCTTGTTACTGATATAAGATTTGCAGAGGCACTCAACTAGAAACATTTAGAATTTCACATTTCAAAATGATTCTTGTACACATTTTTGTTGTATCTTAACATCTTTTTGAAAGGAATGAATGCCTCCCAATTACCTGAAAACTTCCATGGAATCTGTCTAAACCTAAAAAGCGTAAAGTGTGAAAAGTCTTGTGCTTTTCAAATTATTCTGGTATTTTTTAAATTTAAATATAAGAACAATTTAATTGATACAGGATTTTAAAATTTGATTTTAGATTTACAATTTAAATAAAAAAATAACTCAATAAATGCTAAAAATAGAAATATGTATGTCCCACACAAACATGTAATGAAAAAATATCAATAAACATTTTAAATAACTTATCAGCACACATTATTAAAAAAAGGTACACTATGCAATATATCATTTAACTATTGCACACACACATACGTAAAAAAATACTTTTTTCTTAAAAAAATAAATAGTGCATTTATATTTTATTCAAATTTTCTTGTATGGCGTGATTTAAGACTTTTAACCATTATTCACTGGCTGTTCTGCCTCCTGGTAAATTGGACAGATTACTTTGGAAAAAATTTAATCTCAATTAAGATTGAAAAAATGAATATTTAATTCCTGAGTACAAAAAAAGAAGCTGATACTTTTAATCCTCTGAGTGTTAAATCTAACTTTTTTCTGAACTTAATCTTCTGGCTTTTACATATATGAGGTTAAAGATATATGGAAATTTATTTAACTGAAGTCTTAAAAAAATTCTTTTAATTTAAGTTGATAAAGCAACTTATTCAACTATATTTTTTTAAATTTCATTTATCACAATGTTCGAAAAGATGAATTGAAATAAATGATGACATTATAAAAGTTATACTCAGTTTGTATTATGGCTAACAAACACAGGGTGCGTAGCCAAGTCTCTCAACAAAAAATAAGCACTTTTAAAGTATTTTTTAAGCACTCAAAAATATTTTTAAGTACTTTATACATTAACAAAATACAAAATAATTTTCAAAGACTTTACATGATCATGATAAAATAACTATTTTCTGAAAAAGAACTCTTTTTCTTGATTGTATTAACCACCATAAAAAGATCGAGAGATTTTTCAGTTCGATTTTAGAGGGTAGAAAATGAAGCCTGAAATTGAAAATATCTTGCAGCAGAATTGCAACTGACAGTGCAAGACTCTCACCAAACCCAGCTCAGTAGACGCATATGCGGACTCCCAAGTATTTAATCACATATGTAATACGATTGGCTCTACCATACGTTATGGACCGACGGTAAGCCGTCATGGATTATATTTAAATGAATTGTGAAAACGTTGACTAGAACAATGTGAAAACCACACTTTTGTATAATACACAGCGAAACTCGACAAAGTAAAAAAAAAAACTCATTATAGAAAAGGGAAAATTACCCACTTTTTGAAAGCACACTAATGAAAAAAGCCCCTTTAAGGGCTTTTTAAAAACGAAAAAAAAAAAATAAGCACCTATAAGCACTTTTTAAAAACGCTATGCACCATGAAACAAGAATGGTGAAAAACTTGAACTTATATTTTTATTATTGCTAAGCATTAGCGGAAATATGAGTAGTACATACATTGTGAGAGGAAAAACAAAAACCATATTTGCTGTGCATTATATATGGCTCATTCTAAGTGAAATGGACCAAAATAAAAATATTGTTGTCATCTTGCTAATTTTTTGTTACAAATTTCTTGACAAAAATGGCTAAAATAATTTTTTCAGAATTTTTTGACCAAAACTATAATTTAAGGAAATTTTGTTCTTTAATCTCAATTTTTTTCTTCGTAATGTTAAATGTCATATTTTTCAATACAAAAAAATAAATGGAGTATTGTTTTGTCAGTAAAAAATAAAAAGTGGTTTTTAGCCTAAATGCTTAAAATTTTTTTTTTTTTTTTTGATATCCAAAACAAAATTTCCTGATCAAAAATTTTTTTGCTGAATGTTACATTTTTTAATCTAAAAAAATTAAGAGAATGTTTATTGGTTTATTGCTTTCAAAAAAAAAAAATAATAATGATTGATTTTTAGCCAAAAAAAAATCAAGATATTTTATAGTACGCAAACATATCATATTTTTTTTCACATTATATTTTTTTATGAAACATAGTGTGAAAAAATTATATATTATGTTATATTTCTTATTATTAAAAAATTAAGAGGGTGGTTATGGTTTTTTAAAGAATAAAAAGTGATTTTCAGCCAAATTACTTTAAGATTTTTTTATGGACAAAAACAGTTTCTTGACCTCAATTTTTTTTTACACAAGTTTATATGCTATACTTTTCAGCATAAAAGAACTCAAAAAGTGTTGTTATTTTTTATCTTTACTTATTTATTGAAAGTCAACAAAAAATAAAAAGTGGACTTAAGTCATAATATTTCAAATTTTTTTTTTTTTTTTTAGGTGAAAGTGCCCCAATTTCAATGAAAACAAAAACAGATCCTTCTGATTCCTTTTATACTGAACAATATGATATTTAACATTACAAGGAAAAAAAACTGAAGTCAAGAAAGTTTGTTTTGGTGCTATAAAAAATTCAGAATTATTTTTAGATGTAAACGACTTTTTTATTTAAAAAAAATAAACACCCTCTTAATTTTTCTTATATTTAAAAATATGACATAGAAGTATTTTGCTCAAATACCATACTTTACTTTTGTTAAAGACAAAAAACACCCTCTTGTTTTTTCTTAAAGTTTGAAAATACGATATTTAACAATATGAAAAAAAATTGAGGTGGCGGAAGTTGTTTATTCTCCTTAAAAATTCTTAAAATTTGCTAAAATAATTTCCAAAAAAAATTTTTTTAATACATTTTTAAAATACACTCATGGACAAAAAAAATTAGTGCACCAAGAAGGAGTCATCAAAATGAAACGAAATTTTACATACGTAATGACTACTTTGATAATAATTAGAAAAAGATAATAAAGAGTAAATGATTAGAAAATCAAAGATTATCGAATTTCTGTGATTTTCTAATCATTTACTTATATCAAAGTAGTCATTACGTATGTAAAATTTCATTTTGACGACTCCTTCCAATCGCGCTAATTTCGACTCGCGCTAATTTTTTTTGTCCACATGTGTATATATATATATTCAGCATTTTAATAGTGTAATTATGTAGTGTTGGCTTCTTTCACTCTAATGAAAACATAAAAAAAACAACTCCAAAATAAAAAAAAAGATAAATATTTTTGACATATAGGGCACTATCTGTAGTTATACCTTCTTAAATTGATTCAAATTTTGAAATAGCCTCAGAGCTTGGGTTCAAAAATTTCCAACAAAATTAATTTTACCATCTTTCATCAAACTTTTCAACATAAAGTTTTCATGAAAATCTGTGACATGAAGGCAATGGCCATAGATTGATTTCAATTGGAATGTGCCAAGATCTAAACAAATTTAGAATTAAAAAAACAATTCATAAATAGTACCATTAACCACAGCAACAACTGGTACAGGAATGTTCTGTAGTCCCATCATCAGATTTGAGCAGAGTTGAAAAATTTCTTCCCTTTTTTTCTGGTCAGATTGATGCTGGAAGGTAAAACAAAACATACACGTAAAAAAAAAGAAGAAAAAAAAAAGACATTTTCTATTATAATTAAAATCTGAATAAAGAGAAATATGACAAAGTTTTAGAATCTGACCTCTCAGTTTTTAATTCTATGTTAAAAAAGATGTTTGTTGTAACCTGGCACCAGAGTGGCTAAATGTTCTGTCTTGCATAAAAAGTTAAACTGGTTCAAATGCTGAGGAGTGTGAGATTATCTATACCGTCTCACTTTTCATTATTATTATTATTATTTATTTTTTTACCTTCATCTGCAGTTCCTGAATAATATTTGCAAAGTGTCTGTGTGTCAGAAAATAGACTACCGTGGGGAATGAATAATTTTTTTTCTTTGTATTTTTTGCATTTCCTGTATCATTACTACAATGCATCGCTTTGGAATTTTTAAATGAAACAGTAAGTTGTATACATGCATTTAAGTTTACATAATATTGTTAAACCCCACAAGTTTCATAAATACATCTATATTTGTGCACCAGTAAAAAGTGATGATATATACCATTCTTATAAACTTAAACGGCTTATTAATAATTTATAACATATTAATAATTTATAATGGCTTATTAAACGGCACATTAAATCTTAAAAAGTATGTAAAAATATGATAAACATTGCAAATTAATTATAAATTTAATTTGTAATGCTTATTATATTTTTACAAATTAAAAGTAAAAAAAAAAAAAACTACTTGTGCTATTTACTGAATAATACTATTATGTATTTACTTTATATTATTTGATAATTTAAAGAATTTTTAAAAAAATTTCAAGTCTCTAACTAAGCACATTGTAAAAAAGGCAATATTTAAAAATAGCTTCATTTCAAATATCAAAAAGAATCAATCTTCAAAAACCAAAAAGAGTCCTAAAACACTCTTATCCAATAATTTAAAATTATCTTTATTGAGAGAATATAAGATAACTTTAAATTAGAGGTAGAATAAAAGAACTAAACTGAAATAATTTTGAAACATTTACACAAAAATAAATATTATAAGAACACCAGACTAAGTAAAAGCAGCAAACTGAAAGAAAAAACAACATAATTTAAAATTATACTAACAAGTTCTTTTAAATCATGCCCAGAAGAAAAAACAGGACCTTGGCTTTGTAAAACAATGCATCGTAAATTTATATCCTCAATATTTTCAAATATATTTTTCTGTAATGATTGTAGCATAGCAAAGGATAAAGCATTCCTGAAAATAAATTAAAAATAAAATAGCATTGAATATACAATCTATAGAAATAGAATCTCAAGGCTTAACAATAGAAAGTCAAGTTAATTTATTGAGAAAAATTTAATTTAACTTCGAAGAGATTCATTCACCCTCTGATTAATAATTAATCTCGAGCAGTTGACATCTCTGCATCATCACTCTCATTTATCTGTCTGTTATTTACAGTAATGAGACAGAAACTTAAAAATTGCTTTTTAAGTCTAGTAGACCAGATGAAAGTAGATTCAGTAGCAATGACTATTTTATTTATTATTTTCATGGAAAGGTTAATCATTTTCATTGATTAACAGAGCATAAATAAGTGTTGCTCAATTGAAAAGTTAAATTTTTCATAGGTTTTTAGGTAATTTTCTAAAATATACTATCAATAACTTTCACACGCATACGTATTGTAATTATGAAAGTTTTTAAAGTACATTAACTACATGTTATATTGCACAAAAGTTTATGATTATTAAATTACTTCATTCAATAGCAACCTTCAAAGAACGTTTGATAGTACTATTACCATGATCTCACAGAAATAAAAGCTTGCATTGATGTGATTTAATTTCTGTTTGACCTCCTGTATTATATACAAGGACTCCTCAGTTATAGAATTCATATTGCAACTGCAGTCGCAGTAAAAAAATTAAATTATGAAATTTAAAATAAATATGTCAGTTTAAAGGGAAAAGAAACCAACATTTAAATACTAAAAGAATTGCAATGGTTTTTAGCGAGCAATTCAATTTGTTATTTTGAAATTATTCAATTTATCTTTAAAATATTATCTGTGGTTCATTAAGGACAACAAAAATAACTTTCAAAAGCTGTATTTGAAAATATACTGTATCCCTATTTCCTAGGAGAAAATTACAGAAATATGATATGATACATGTTTAGGTAAAAGTTTATTCTTTTCAATACAAGAAGGGTTAATTAAATGCCTTGATTTCCTTTATTTATTGTTTGTTTGCTTTTCGGATTATAATTGATTCAGAAATAAGGGATAGTATCTTAGAAATGCATAATTTAATAGAGGTGGATGTGAATTTTACACTTTGAATTGATTTACAATCTCGCTTGCCAATGCTAGAATGTAAAGGGAATTTTCAGATGAAGAAACTTGATTATTTTGTATAAAATGACTTACAATGGAGTGCAAAATGAAATGGAATGCAGTTGCTGAAAATCTTAATATTTTTACCTCATTAAGATATTTAAAGAATTAAAATAATTTGAACTATCTGGATTAAACTTTAACAGTCATTAATTTTAATTACATGACTCTCAAAATATATATAAAAAAATATTAGTCTTTAAAAACAAATGAAAAATTAAATATATTTTTAAACTTCATCACAAATTTTTCTTCTTATAGAGTTGTTTAAAATAATCTCAGGGTTAACATTTTATGCAATTAGTATTCTGGACTACAAATAAAACAATGGTAATAAAATAAAATTCAATGTACTGTTATAAATTTACCTTTTTTTAGGATTGTTCAGAGTGATTCGTCTTACACCATTTTGTTCAAGTACAGTAGTTAAATTAGCTTCACTTGAAAATGATCTTGAAAGATATCTGAAACCAATCTACAAATAAAATAAAAAAAATTCTTTTTTAATAATGTATGAATGTTATTAAAACAAGCGTTGGTAAAATATTAGTATAATAAATACTTTGTAGTTCATCTTTCCAAAAATATAAATAAATTAAATTTTCCTTTCATAAGATTTTATATTTATTTTACTAATAATAATATTCATTCAAAAAGGAAAACAAATCATATTTAATACAAAAAAAACTAACATCTTAATAACATAGCTTTAAGAAAATACAAAACATTAAATAAACAAATATTAACTTCATACATGTTGCAAACATTAACATCGTTATTTATTACAAATATTAACTATATTTACACAAATTGTAGAAAACTATACTAAGATTAAGAAGTTATCTGAGCAGAAAAATATCTTGTAGAAACTAATAAACAATTAATTTAAGTTATCAACCATCTCATTTTTATAAACATCTTCTTATTCATAATATTAGTAAATCACACAGAATAACTTAAATATTGTTGTTGTTAATTTATGTCGCACTAGAGCTGCACAATGGGCTATTGGCGATGGTCTGGGAAACACCCCGAAGGATGATCCGAAAACATGCGACGACAATTTTGATCCTCTGCTGAGGGGATGGCACCCCCGCTTCGGTAGCCCGATGACCTGCGTGCGAAGTTGAGCACTTTACGGTAGCACAGTTTAACGAGAACCAATACCGCACACCCTTTGTCGCTACGCAGACTGATCCAAGTGGTCACCCACCCGCACACTGACCGCAGCCAGTGATGCTTGACTTCGGTGAGCTGCTGGGAACCGTGTCTTATCGATCAATCCACTGTGGGACAATAACTTAAATATAAATAATTACTTAAATATAAATAATTACTTAAAACTGTTAAAAAACTGTTGCTAGCAACAATGTTAATCATGAATAATATCATCTGCAAAAATACAAGATTAATATTTTAATCATATTAATAAAAAAAATAGGATCGTTTTATTCGGGGAATCTATTCAATCAAATTTGAATAGCATATACTGTAATCAAGAGTTTGATGAGAGGAATAGAGAATGAATTAACGCGCATGTTTAAAATAATTGACAAAAATCTTTTTCGAACTTTATTTTACTTATCATGTATTATTAAAGACAGGTAATATATTATTATATATAGAAAATATACCATCAAAAATATAATATATCGATCAATTTTAGGACAAATTCTATAAAATTTTTATAAAAACCTTATGCATCCGTAAGCAGGACATTTTAATAATATTAAATATGATGGGACAAAAAATAGCTGAAAAGTAACTAAATTAATACATATTTTTGATCGGTATGTTTTGTGCTTTTTATGTTTGTGATTTTGTTTATGTTTTGATTACTTCTGGCTGCCTATTTCTGCTTAAGTTTAATCCTACTTACCCAATCAGCATATTTGTTTTAAATAATAGATGAAAAGAAAAAAAACAACTTTAACTTTTTTTAAAAATCTTACTGGGAATAATAAATTATGATACTGATAGTTCAATGTAAAAGGATCATGCCGAAGGGGATAAAATACTCATTTTCCTAAACTCTAGCAAAATCAAATTTATTCGTCTAAAATCTATGAAACAAGTCGTTATTAAAAGCATAAATAATAAAATAAAATTAACAAACCATTACGTTTTAAATTAATGATACTGGCACAATTAATTAACAATTAAAAAATTATGCAATTATTGACGACTTCATTAAAAAAATAAAAAGAGGACACAGTTTTGCTACAGTATCCTTGTATTCGGGATCGCAACTCTCAAATACGCCATCTGGGGAGAGGACCAGTTCCATGTTTTGACCCTCCCCCTTTCCTCTCCTCCTCTGCTCAGTAGTATAGGAATGTGCAAGACAGAAACTAACGTAGCTCCTTTCTATAACTCTCCACACGCTAATGGTGAAAGCATGCGAACTTACATAGTTTATATAAGTTTTTTTAAGTCATCGCTAATAAATAATTTTAATTTCTAACAATTGAAGCAAATTTTTATCTTAGTCTAAATCAAAATTAACTCACTTAGCTTTATGTGGCTGGAACCTTGAAATTTAAATGACGATTAATAAGTACTTTCCGATTAGCAATGGTACTTAAGTCACTACTGGTGCTCTGTGTTTTATGGTAGCTAGAGTTTAAATTATTATTTGACTCCTTTATTCAAAATTTATCTCATTTTATCGCCTAACAGTCAACTGAAATTTCGACCCTTTTTCTAATAACTGGAGAGCTCAAATCTCACTTGAAACATGGTGACAAAAATTGCTTCCCTCACTTTCTGGCCTTTACGCAGGGGCCCCCACCAGTTGGGGAGGTGGGCGCACGATGAGCCCACTTAAAGCTTGGGGGGGGGGAATTTTTACACTAAATAAAACGAATAGTTTGGGGGGGGGATTTAGAATTTGCCCGAGAATGCGCCCAAGAGCTTGGGGGGGATGGGGGCCACTGCCTTTACGAATTTAAATTTATATGGCTATATTAACGCTGACTAGAATTTATTGTCCCTCTTGATAAAACCAATATCTAACTAGCTCCAATGCTCGAATTTCAAATGAATGCCCGAACTTTTCCCTAATTGTAGTAACTAAAACTAATTTCATTTATAGTGATTGAAATTTCAATCGTATTTTCAACCTCTTTCAAGAAAACTGACTTGTATAAAGCTAAAAGAGATAAAATAATAAATTAAAAATGATTAAAAAAATAAAATTTATTAAAATTACGTTTAAAAAACGTTAAAAAATTAAATTACGTTGAAAAAATTGAAAATTTAATTTTTTAATTTTTTTAGCAAACGTAATTTTATTTTTTTAAAAATAAATTAAGTTTTCTAAGTAAAACTAATAGTTTAAAATTTTTTTTAAGTAATAAGATTTATTTTTCAGAAAATAAATTAGTTTTTTTCTCAGATGATAAATGTAAGGGGAATCGTTTCCTTAATAAATTTCTTTCGTCACCGACAGTATGGTGAATAGCATTTTTCATTCTATGTCTTCTCTTTTTTCAGTTTTCGTAAAAACACAGTATTTTAAATTTTTATTAATTGTATATGTATTTGCTCCGGTAAATGAGATCAATCGGGGGATTTCATTGCTTGTGTATTATCTGTACCTGTGTATTATTATCTGCATTATCTCAATCATAATCACTTGAAAGTATTAAAAATATGATAATTAATAGAAAATTATTCATCTTTTTATCTGTTTCTTGTATGCCACATTCCCGTTTTTGTTGTGGAAATCAATTTCCTTATTAAAAATAGACTTACTAGATGTTTAATGTTTCTGTAAATACAGTGCAAACTAATTTTTCGTTGAAAAAATTTATTAAATATTTTTATTCTATCCAACAAGGCACAAATTGTAATCAGCTATTTCAAGTTAAATGCCTTTATGGCGTAATTCGTTAAGGGAATCCATATATATATATATATATATAGCTATATAGATAGATTGTAAACCTTAGAATTGTTATAGCTTTCGCGAGTTTTTGATTACATATAATAAAATTATTTATGTAACCATATTCACTTATTCTTTTTGGTGGTTAAAAAAAACTACTCTATGTCAACTTGTTTACTGCATCCTAATTTTTCCTTTTGTATTGTAAATCAGGTTTGATATGGTGATTAACTCAATGGGGACTATAGTCCATCCATTGTGTTTAGACGTCTGTTCACCTGGAGGCAGAGTCATAACCTTCACTACAACCTCCTTGCTGTTATCTGATAAATTTGGAGTTTTCTTTGGTTCCCTCATAGCCCTGGCGATGCA